ATAAATAAAGAAGTAGCTAAATAAATTAAGAAGGTGTAACGATGCTAATATTTTAAATATGACTTATTAATATGTAAGCATATAATCTATATAATATAAAAATGAATGTCTGTGCGTCCTTTATTGACTCCTAAACCATCCAACCGCAAGTCATGAAATTTGGCAAACGGATAGTTTCAAGCACGAAGAAGGTCACTGTCAACATTAGAACATTCTACAACAAATCGTTCTAATAGGATGAGAGAAAAACTAACTGGAATTTTCTGATTGGTTAAGCGTTAGCCACAGTTTTAAATTTAACGAATCAATTTTCACATATTTTAAAGACACATCAGTGATAATTGTTAGCTTATAACTCTATTTTATCAAAAAACAGTTCATTGCACGTATTTAAATATTTAATTATTTTATATTCACTATGTCAGATGAATTCAATCAACATTACATGGTAGCACGCGTGATCTATGTCACCAAATTTATATTTTGCCTAATACCACGCGTTTTTATTTTATTTACATTAATTCTTTTAATCGTGTTTCTAAAAAATTACTTATTTAAAACCAACGGTAATTGAATAGAAACAAAATATTTATGTAATCAAAAGCAAAAATTAATGGGAAAGTGGTACTAAATCGTTTAGGAGAAACATAAGAAATTGGCGCCAATGGGGCTTAATTACTCCAATCATGATTAATTACTTAAGGTAATATATGCTCATTGAAATAAAATAATAAGCAATATACTCGAAAACAAAATAAATGGAGTAAAGGTATTTAAGAACAGTAAGAAATTGACATACTGTCCTTGACGACAATGATGCTTAATTGATCTTGGTAATATGTATTAATTGAAATAAAGAAATGTAACATCTGAGCTAAGAAGCAAAAATAAGTAGAAAAGATGCTTATTCGCGTTTTGAGTAACGGTAAAAAAATCAGCACATTATTATTGACACTTATAATCAATTAATTATTTTATTACCAATTTATTAGAAAGAGGGACAAATATCTCTTTATTTTTTATTTAATTACCCCAGCCTAATTTGAAATAAAAATCATGCAAGCATACTGAAAACTGATGTAATTAGTTATGTTAAGATTTGAGTGAAGGCAAAAACAGCTCTGTAGCATTAAATATACCCGTATTGATACAACCACTTTTTATTTTATTTTCTCTGATTCATTAATTCCCCTAAAAATTTCACTACCCTGTTTCTTCCACCAAGTTCTTTAATTGAATCGGTTTATGATTTTCAGTTTTGAGCATGATTTCGTAGTGTTTCTCAATACTGTTTTATTTTTTTTAAATTTTTTTTTTTACTCTCCCCGTGCGACGAACGGGTATTCAGCTAGTGTAAAATAAAGTATAATAAGTAAAGTAAACATAAAAAAGTATATATTTTTCTATTTTTTCTTTAAAAAAAAACATAAATTGAGAACAATATTGTTTGTAAATTGCATTCAAATTTTAAGGCTTGAAAAGTAGAGAGGCATGGAATATAAGAGGCTTTCATTTAGGAATATAAATTGTAGAATCGTGCTTAAGTTGTTCCCAGAAGGGGATGAGATATCATTAAGGGATTATGAATGACATTAAGAATTAATTTGTCCCGCAGTCTCAAAAGAGGTAATCTATTTACATAGCCGCCTTTATGAAAACCTCTTCCCTGAATGTAAAATTGTTTCCTTTCCCCGCATTCATCATTTATCAAATTAGACGTCCAGTAATGAAGTGTTGCCACCGATGTCTTAAAATTCTCTGCCCAAGACTACGCAAATAGGAACCCGAAACGTGGTAAATGAATCGTGTAAGAAAGAGAAAGGTAAAAAAAAACTTCATTATTTACAATTTTTACCATCATCCGTCACATCTTGTTTGCTTTTGGGGTATTTATCCATATTAAAATTGAAAAATATGCGATGCTTCAGATGGGTTATGACAGCTCATTGTAAATGACACCCAATCGGTGAGCTTTTTATTGTGAACACTGATCAAATGGAGTGACTAAGAAAATGGACACATCTCAAAATAGGTGTTTAAGAAGGTGGAAACAGGGAAAAATGCTTATTTTCAATGTTCAATTTAAACTTAATGACGAAAGAAAGGAATTTCGTTCTTAGTTTTTGTTCAAGTACAATCATGACGTAGCCAAAGTTCGGGGATCGGGCATATTATACAGATAGGACTTTTTAGGCCTCTCTTCGAATTTGGCACATTACACGATAGAGTAGTTTTAAAAACTTGCCAATTCGTTCAGCGTCAATTTCATAGTACATATTTATAGAACCTGTGATACAACCTCGTAAAAAGAACTCTTGACTTTTAATATTAAAAAAAGACACTTTTGGAAAAATGCACAAAGGGATTTCAGAAAATGAAAAACATCACATTTCGAATTTATTTGGATAAATTAGTTTATTCTTTTTTTAAAAAAAAAAAAAAAAAAAAAAAGCTTCTCATAGGAGCAGTTTAAAAAACAGAATCTAATACTATTTTCGCATTTCGAGTCGGAATTGTCGTAACAGATTCATTCCTAGACTAAAATGTTTCTGAGAAACAATAAGCCTTTCTCATTGGTTGTGATGCAAGCAGATCCCCTGACAATGTTATTTATACGATAAATCAAATGCAATGGCGGTTGAAGTTAGTTTTGAATTGGACCATTCACTGATTTCTGAAGAAAGAAACTAAATAGATATTGCATAAAAGTTATTTTAAATTTTTTTAAAAATCTTTTTTAAACCCAGTATAAAATTTTATCAATGAACAGAACCGAAAAATCCTGAAGAATTAATTCTTGAAATTAGAAAAGACTTTTATAGGCTTTGTCTTGAATGAGATATACTTTAATACTTACAGTTTCAGAAAATCTGTTTGACTTAATGGAACCATAATATTGATACTTCGAACCATGCCATCTTGCCAAAAATTCAGCAACCTAAATGACGTGTTAAGTTCAACCATGTTTTAGTTCAAGTTGGACTTATAGTATTGTGTAATCAAGTTCAAAAGACATGATAACATAATTTAATTTGAAATAGTTATAAATTACAGAATATTCGAACTATATAATAGTTTGGAAGCATTCAGAAATTTCCGATAATGTAGAGAACAGTCATTCGAGAAATCTGATATTTAATGTTATGATAGACAACAAAACTGCATGTGAAGTGCGCGCTAGTTAAAGACCCTGGGCACTTTTAATACGTTACGCAGAAATTAGTTATTATCATAGTCATATTAATGAACTTAATACATAACGCGCTTGCGTAACAATTGCTTAAAACTATTACGGGTGTAGCACATCCGTGCATAAAAGGAAAGAAGAGAGTCACAAATGCAAATTTTTCTCATTTTCAAACTTCGCAATATGCAAGTTTTGAGTTTGACGTCGAAGACACTGCTTTAACAGCCGCGAATTTGATTTTGCTTTCAACTTAATGTAAGACAAAGAGGAAAGGAATGGTCAACATTCAGTAAGCGCGTTGTATCGATGAGTGCGATGTCTCAACGAAGTCATTTTACCGAATCAGAAGCTTGGAGAGTTGTCGGCCAATTAGAAGGTGATCAAACACAAGCGAAATGTCACAGAAACCATTGGAGTTTCACTTAATGGGATTTCCAGGATCTTGAATCGTTTTTTAGAAAGTGGAAATGCAGGCCGGAGATCGGGTCAAGGGCTTAGACGTGCAACAACGTTCAACGAAGACCATTATTTAACGTTAACGACTCGGAGACACCGAAATATGAATGCCACTTCTCTTCAACCTAATCCTCGCTCGGATACTGGCACGACAGTTTCGACTCAAGCTGTCTGAAACCACCTTCACGTTGTAGGTCTGTATGCTCGCTGACCAATAGTGTGTGCCGCGTTAACAGCAAGGCACTGTCGCGCCTGCAGGAAGTGAGGAACAGAGCACATAAACTGGAGGAGAAGTGAATGGTGCAATATTCTTTTCTCTGACGCGTCCCGTTTTTTTTTGTTCATCCTGATAATAAGCGTATTTTCATCCAGAGAGAACGTGGCGATAGGACCAATTCGTGAATGAAAGTGTAAGATTTGGCTGTGGAGGAGTGATGGCCTATGTTGGCATCTCCATTTTTTTGGAGCACCCATCCCCATACCATTTGAAATGGAGCTCTGACAGGTCACCAATATAGGGATGAGATCCTGGGACCTATTGTATTCCCTTACGCTGCAGCAATTGAAGATGACTTCATGTTAAGAGACGACAATTGCAGGCCAGTTCTTGCTGACTTGGTGAATGATTTCCTTTTGGAGGAAGGTATGATACGAATAGATTGATCAGCGTGTTCTCCGGATATGAACCCAATCTGGCATGCTTAGGACACTCTAGGCAGAATAATAGTTGAGTGCCTACTACCCCCACAAACTCTTCAAGAACTGAAAGGAGCTCTACTGGAGGAGTGGGACAGAATGCCCCTCATTAATAACCTCATTGACTCGACGTTCTTGGCCGTCCGGGGAAACAATAACCCCACTAAAAAGGAAATACTATTTTTCTTATATGCACAAATTTTAATTTTTTCCTTTTCTAGCAAAAACGCATTTTTTCTGCCAAATAAATGTCGTTTTTATTTCTACGTCTGTCGACAAAAGCTTTCCTAATTTTTACTTTCCTCATTTTAATCTTAAAAAAGTTCCAGACTTATTCAATTTGAATGCTCTCTCTAGCTTAACATTTTCTTATTTTTCTTTTAAATTCAAATAGCTTATTACATACATTACAAACTTTTAACGATTTCTTATAAATGTCTATTTACCAAAATTAAAAAAATAAATAAATAAAAAATAGTACGGTATGAGTAATAAATAATTTAGTTAAATAAAATCAGAGATTTCATTAACCATTTCACCATGTTTTATTTACCTGATATCCGTATCTTATTAAATCTAATCTAAAGACGACAAAATGGGCAGTCGTTTGCTATTCTTGTACTTTTTTTGTTATTTATTACATACTTCGCACTTAATTCTCTCATTTTTACCTAATCTAACACGCATTTTTCCCGAGAAAAACGAAAGATCGCAGAAAAAAGGAGAAGAAAAAATAGGTTTATTTGAAAATGGGAGGCATATGTGAAAGGTACCTAATCTTATCTATGAAAAGACGACAGCAGAGAAAAGAACTTTTGTGTTTTCTCCAGCAAACGGATAAAAAGAGCTGGATGCGTGTGTGGACGAGAGAAACAATGTGTAATATTCCGATGCATGATTCTTAATCTTTGTGAGAAATCCATCTGCTGCATGGGATTTATGAATTTCTTTAGGTGAGTGCTTTGTAAAAAGAGAAAAGAGTGAGAATTCTCTAGTTCACATTCTGAAAAACAATAAAAGTTGACATATCAGAACAATTATGCTTGTTAAGTATTGTAAAATATATCAAAGTTCGATCATTTAAAGAAATCCAAGACATGCATAACAAAATTGTACATTTCATGTTTTTAATTTGTGCTAAAACTTTAAATATTATGCTTTAATATCAAAGTTCATTTTACGTAAATAGCTAAACATTTTCATTTCCATCTTAATATTTTTATGAACAGAATATAAAATTCCTTTATTTAAAATTTCAAAATAAAATAACCTATTTTTCATTTTTATAATTTTTACAAAAAGACTAGGCAGTATTTTTTAAAATTTATGTTGACAAATGGTGATAAAATATGCGTATTTTAAATGACACCCAGTTATATTTCAAAGTTTATGAGATACATCGTTTTAAAATTGAAATTTTTTTTTTTTTAAATATATACAAAAAACAAACAAAAAAAAAACAGAAAACAAAGCTAATTCTTCTGTCGAGTTCTAACTGAGGGAGAAACATTTTACCTTTTCATTATTTTCGTCATTTGATTAGTTTTGGATAGATCCATTTTTTATGCCACATAAATGAGCCAAAACGTAACATGAGCCGATGTATTTTAAAGCCATTTGGCACACAACGTGATCAAGACCGTAAGCATCCGGATTGGGAGGTAATGAAAACGTGAAATCTATATCAGAAAAAGAAATATTATGAAACAATTATTATCTTGTAACGGATATACAATCTTCAAAACTAACGTATGCCAAAACAATACCGCATGCAATAATTAATAAAGGTGTTGCTATATAATAAGAAAAAAAAATGAAAAAACAATACGCTTATATCATTAAATTATTGGTAAAATTATAAAGTGTATGTAATTTTAACATTAATTGTGAAATAGTAGAGTTAATTAGTAGTAACATGCGGTTTGATCAATAATGAATAAGTAAACCTAACATTTGAGAATCGTTATAAAACACTTCTTACCTTGTTAATAATATATGCTAATTTCAAATTCAAACCTGAATTATAATGTATAAACTTAATATTGCTCCTCGAACAATATGCTAACACTAACGTAAGATGGTGCCCAGCTTGCAACAAGAACAAAAAGTAATAAACAAATGGAAAGAGGCCAAATCAGGACTGCCTAAAAAGCAAGTTATTCGAAATCTAGCAACTATGTCACCTTTTTTAACAATATATCTATAAGTAACTAAAACAAATTTTCACTTCAAACTGACCAGAATTACTTAATAACATTTATATCTTATGAAATACGGCAGATTTGAGCTGAGAAATTACGTAATTTATTTCTTTTATTGAAAACAAAATCATCCGTTTGAAAATATCGCCTNGTTATAAAACACTTCTTACCTTGTTAATAATATATGCTAATTTCAAATTCAAACCTGAATTATAATGTATAAACTTAATATTGCTCCTCGAATAATATGCTGACACTAACGTAAGATGGTGCCCAGCTTGCTACAAGAACAAAAAGTAATAAACAAATGGAAAGAGGCCAAATCAGGACTGCCAAAAAAGCAAGTTATTCGAAATCTAGCAACCACGTCACCTTTTTTAACAATATATCTATAAATAACTAAAACAAATTTTCACTTCAAACTGACCAGAATTACTTAATAACATTAATATCTTATGAAATACGGCAGATTTGAGCTGAGGAATTACTTAATTTATTTCTTTTATTGAAAACAAAATCATCCGTTTGAAAATATCGCCTCGCGGAATAAGCTGTAGTAAGCAATTGCAAACTTTCTAACCGGAACAAGAGCAGGTATTGAGCTCGAGATCGTTATTGTTTACATTTCTATTGAAAACACCATCCACAACAATGTGGAGAAGGAATACAGAAGTCTGTCGTTCAAATACTTTTGTTTAAATTATTTGACATGCAACAAAAATGTCATATGATTTTCGTTCGGCCACCCTATCTGTTTATGAACAGAATTACTAATTACAACAAACCATACATTTCTATCTCATTTTCTTATTTCTATCTCTGTTTTTTAATTGATTTTTTCAATCATTGATTATTTCTGGTATACTTTCGGCACACTTTAGGCACGCACATCGATTTAATAGAGTAGTTACACATATAGAGGGGAGTTACAAGCAGCAATTATAAATATATGACGTAAGGGTTGAGAGTATTGTGTTGTAATTCATTGTCAGAAATGTTATCGTAGGCATATTATGTACTGGCTGTTCGTTCCTTTTTTTAAAGCTGTACTTTTATTAATCCAAATTATCATAATACGATGTTGATTTTACATTTTCTAATAATAATTTTAGAATATTGCATTCAAATTTGGCTATTTTTTCTTAAGTTGTTGATTTTGGGGACTAATTTTCAGAACTCGCCAATTCGGTTACCAAACCGATAAATTAGGTATTATCTGTAAGCTGTTTCTGTATGTAAATTTCGCCAATAATTGTAAGGAAACAAAATTTAAGCTACTTTTTAAAAAAATAATAATAGTGTCGTTTCAAATGTATGCGCGAATGATGAATAAATGAAAGTTTGGGCTTTCAATATGCAAATCTTATCCAAGAGTTGCAGAAAATTCTATCAGCACCTTCCTTCCATTTGTATTAATTTATCTATATGGGTCAGGCTTTTCATGTCTTTAATGTTGAAAATGACTTGAGTTTTCACATTTTTAGTACTGCATCATATGTATTCAAAAACTAGCGAAGAAAATACAATCATTAATATTGCTTCAAACAAAAAGTAGCTAAACATATATTTTACAGCAGTAATACAAATACTTTAGACTAATAATTCACGTATCTTTAATTTATTTTGTTTAACTTATACAGGGTTAAAACTTCGCTGTCAAGTCTTCTTCGGACCAAACTTTGTGCAGCCAAAACTTCCTCGATTCATTACTACAGAATATTTACCATAACTTTGCGACTTCGCCAATCCATAATTTCGCAGGTACAACACTTCACTAGCTTATAACTTCGCCCTTACTTTTATTAAAATTAAATTAATCCTGAATTTGAATTTATTAAAATTATATATCTTATAAATTCTTTTATATCTTATATATTATTTTATTAAAATTAATGCATAAATTAATTATTAATTTAATGTTAGTTATTAATTTAAGAATTTGAATTTACGAAGTTGCTTCCATTCAAAGTTTTGCACTCAAAGTTTTGTGCAACGAAGATTCGGCTGCGGAGTTTTAACCAGTTTACTTTTTAACCATTAGTTTGTGAGTATTAGAAAACTACATTTTATTAAAATTTTCTGTGCTTTGTTAAAGTTTTAAAAACTGTAAAAAAATCTGAATAATTATAGTTTATATATGTTTTGAGTTTTAAAATTGGGAGAATGAGTTTCTAGAAATATAGCAAAGAGAGGGGGAAGTTGTAATATTTTCATATCAGTTGAATATAATATTTACTATCATGCAATAAATCATTCTGTCAATTCTTGTTTCCAAACAAAAGATTCCTTAGAGAACCAGCAATCTTTTTTGAGGTAGAAAAAGGAAGAAAAAAATAGAAATTTTAGGAGGAAAAGGTAAATATTTTCTCTACAACTCTTATCTAATTCTGGATTAAAAAAAAGAAAAGAAAACATGATAAGACCATGTGGCCATCTGCCTAAATTTTACCTAACTTTTTTTTTCTTCGAAATTTTAATAGAATTCTCTCCATTATTTTCTTCTTCAAAAATAAACATTTTCAAAATTCCCGGATATTGAGATTGAATGGTAGCTAAAAATGAATAACTTTGATATTGAAATAGTGCATCGAAAAGATAAATGGTTTATACGAAATGGTAAATGAATAATGAACAATATTTTCTGAGAGATTTTTCACTATTAGTTTGTCTATGATTGATTAACTTGTTGACGGATTATAATTTATCGCTTTTGTTGTTACTCGTTGAATTACTTTTCAGTTTTTATTTATCTATTATTTCTTTAAACATTTTTTTGTAGGATTTACAGATATTGGCAGAAGTATTAACTTTTCAGATAATAAATATTTTTTTCCCGCGTAGTCCGTCTGAAAAAAAAAATAGCTTCACATAAAAATGAATTTTCAAAACCTTCAGGGTTACGGTTTCTCATTTTAATTGGACGTCCTATTTTAGAGATTTTTCTGATGTGATCTCATTTTTTACAAGTTTGATCTCTGTTGTGTATAGTTAATAAAGTTAAACTATATGAAATAAAGCTTAAATAATACCACATAAACACACTATATTTTGGTTTTGCAATGAAAAACGTTGATCAGTGTCCAAATACAATTTGAAAGAGGGAAACTCTGTGCACACAATGGAGGTTCACTAGAGAACCAAAACTACAGCGTGTTTGTTTACGTGGTATTATCTGTGCTTTTTTCACACTATTCAGCTTTGTTCATTTATAAAACAAAGTTGACCCATTCATCACTTGGATACTAATTCATCGTTCAAGAAAAATCATGTAGGATGGATTCTTCAGTGGTTCATTTGACCGTGATGAGAAACGACTTATGCTTGTAATAGTTTAACAATACGTATGTCCAAAAATGGAACACAAATTATACACTTCGTTTAACAAATTTTGCTAATCTTAATGAATCGCATCTTTTAAATTTATGTATAGGAGGGTATTAGGAAGAAATGTAAATGAAAAATACTTGACAAATAATCCGGCAGTTTGTGTGTTTCGGCTGCAATAAATGCTTTAATTAGCAGATCATTCAAAATGCTAGTTAGTGTTGATAGTTACAGAATTTTGGAAATCTGCTGTTTTTGAGCGTTTTAAATAGATTCATTGATAATGATTTTCGGAAATAGTTTCAAAGTAGTCAATAGTATTATTTAAATTAATGAAAATAATCTGAAATGCCTAACTCATATTTTTCGTTTGATAGAATATTTATTATAGCATTCAAAAGAAAACAATGTATCTTTTGACACTTTCC